TATGCAAACATGATAATGATGATGATTTAAATTGCAATCAAGATAATTTTGCTACAAGGTTTTTACATCTTACACAGTAATTGATGTAACAAAATGCTAATCATTTTAGCATCATAGTAAGAACCATAATCATGATGATGATGATGATGATAATCATCATGAAGATGAGTCTCTTAATTCATTGGACTTTGGCCAAAGATGAAGATGAAATAACAAGTTACTTGTAAAATGAACAAAAAAAAAAACAAGAAAAAAAAAACTTCTCTTCCAAAGGAAACAAGGGAAGATGAATATGAAAATGATGAGAGACAAGAGGAAGATCATCTTCTCATCTCTTACATTCTCATTTCGATAATAATTTCAAAATGATTATCCTCATTTCCATTGAGATAAAAATTGTCTTTTCATGTTCTCATTCATCGTCAATGGTCATTCTCATCTTTAGAATGGACAATATGAGAAAAAGATAATTTTATTCAGAAAAATCTGATCTACACGGAAAAAGATGATAAAGAAAAAAATCGGAGATGAAGATATGAAGAGAGAGAGAGAGAGAGAGAGAGAGAGAGAGAGAGAGAGATAATATTATTATCGACTCTCTTTTCCAATGACAATGATATGAATCGAAACTCAATCAACAAGCTTATCCCCTACACCCACACCGCCTCCTACTTATGCCTTTCACTTGAAGTATCCAGTCAACTGAGTTTTCCGTTTCCTTTTACGTACATTTATCATCATCTTGTATCTTTCTTATTTCATCTGTTCATCATCATCTCTCTTTCTCTCTCTCCTCTCTTTTGTTTCTCTCTCTCTCTCTCTTTATTCATCTCCCTTCATCATTTAATGTAATAATATCATCTCTATATTATTATTATGAATGAACAAGAATCTACGATCGATAGATGCTTAGATCAGCTTAGTTCCACTCGAGAATTTCTCTTTCTTTTTTCTTCTTTCTTTCTCTATCGATATCTCATCATCATGATGAACATGATGATGAACACTTTTCATCAAATCTTCAAATATGAATATGACGACAAGAGGAACAAATCTTATCTTCTCAATTGATGAACATTTATGATGCGGGAAAAATTATTTCTTTTTCTAATCTCTCATTATTTTCCATCTCTCTCAAGAGTATTATTTTACTAATTGCTGTTGATTTTTATCGAAATTGTTTATTACCTTTTAATTGAAAAGTTTCGAACTTGAAAAGTCAATTTTTGATTATATTTCTGACAATCGACTTGGACATTTATTAGTTAAACAAATGATAATCTGATCAACATCACGATTAATATAATAATTCAAATGTGAGTTTTTTTTTTGTATCACTTTTAATGATACAATTAAAAATTGAACTGATTTTGTATAAGAATTAATTTTTCTCAGTTACATTTTAATCACAATCATGTAATGATTAACAATAATCATGATATTGAGATTGAAATCTGAATAACTGATTAATGCTTGATCATTTGTTGATTGTTATATTATATTTGAAACACTGAAAGATCTGAAACTGAATCAATTAATCATTTGAGTCCATGTTAATGATTTAAAAGTTATTAATATTGGGTTGGGAAAAAAGTTTCAATAACTTTGGCTCAGAACATGAACTTTTTTTGCTAATAAGTTCTGATGAGATTCTGATTCTGACAAGATGAAAATAAATATACGATACTGATCATGATACAAACCGATTGAACTATCGGAGTTAAGTGTGTGTGTGGTGTCACATTGATTATCAATCCATGGAAAGTTTCAATGGGTGTGGACACTGAATTTTCAAGGCATGAAAACAGGAAAAGAAAACATCACCCTGAAGTTCATACATCGGGGATAATCTGAAGATTATCATGACAGAAGAGGGATAAAAACACACGCTTTTTACTGATCTTCAAAGGCGATATCGCCCAAAAGTGGTATTGAAAATCAACCTCATCATCATGTCGGTTATTTTAAGCTGTCAAGTTGAACTTTTTTTTTACTTGAATGAAAAAATAACCAACAACTGAATGAGTTTTAAATACTCAGACTTGTATATTATTACATTAGGTGATTAAGATGACGACAATGATGAGGATTCGGATTAGTGGATGGATATGCAAAAAGACAAAGCTACTTTATTGTATTAATAATAAGAAAAGAGGAAAATTTTTGCCGAAAAAATAATAATAAATTCATTGAATTCTTGATGCTATTTAGTTAATCATTTATTTTATATCATTTCAAGTATAAAAAAAACGACAACGTTATTGTTGGAATTGCAGAATTCATTGAGTTTTTTTTCTTCTTGTAAATTGTTGACAATTAAATTTAATCAAAAGATGCAAATAATAGTTACTACGACTTTTATGAATCAAGCATTGATTAAATTTACCATTCTGATAATGATACTCAGAGATGATGATGAGGATGAGGATAAATGTCCTCAAGCAACGTTAACCTTAAACAATTTACTCTTCTTCTTATGAGTTAATCATCATAATAATTTACACACAGGGATGATTACCCTCTCTCCCACCTCCACCTCTCTTTATCCCATTAAGATTATCCCTTTGTCTCTCTCTCTCTCTCTCTCTCTCTCTCTCTCTCTCTCTCTGGGGAGTTAGTTTGTCTTCATTATCATCATCATCATCGTCATGAGACAAGTCTGATTGAGTGAGATCCTTTTTACTGGAGCAATGAGACGTATGAAAATATTTGGAAGCCAGACAAGCTTGTAAAATCCTCTTCGATTTCATGATTTACTGAACAACATTTAGAACCACAATTTACGTTAATTCGAGACATATACTCTCTCTCTCTCTCTCTCTCTTTATCTTGTAAATTTCGAAAGAGAATAAACTAATTTTCATCATCATCTTTTTCACCATCTTTTGGGTGTAATTCAAAGTTCTGTTTATCTGTCGCATTCATTTTCTAATCTGTTGCTCTGTGTTTTCTTTTAATCTTTTTCTTTTTCTTTAATTCGTATCTTCTTGTGTTAATATTACTACATTATCTACCCTTTGTATCTTGTTAAAGTTAATAGCTTGCAAATCAGCATCTTCAGGATTGATGTATGATTATCATGATGATAATTATATGAGAGAGAGAGAGAGAGAGAAACAGATAAATAACTCATATTCAGAATTGTGTGTTTCCAACTATCAGAACTTTGGGGAAAAAATGATATAAATCATTTGATTTTTATTTTCTGCTTTCACCTTGACTTGATTAGTGAGTTTATGTCTCGCTATTTATATAATAATAATAATAATATATCAATAATCAGGATTAAGTGGATAATCATAATCTCAAGGGGCTGATTAAATTTCATGATGTTTTGTGTTCGATATTCATGTTCAAATCATTCAATTGATCATCTTAATTATCAACACTTTTTACTTAATGTAGAGATTAAAACAACAAAGTGAATGGAAAACAAAATTCTGACTGAAACTCATGAATTCCATTTCATCACCAATGAATATATATGAGAAATAATAGAGAATATCAACACTTAAGGTGTAAACAAAATATCAAAGGTATTCGAATATTAGAACGAGAAAGAAAATTGAAATTCGAGGGAAAAGTTTTTTTTCCATCGAATCGAAATGAACATGAAGATATAAGAATACATTTGAATATCGGATGAAACTGTTAACATTATGATGATGGAATAATAGACATTGAATCGAATTTCGAGAACAAGAGATGAAGAAAGAGAAGGAAGAAGAAAGAAAGAGGAAAATGAAGATGATAAAGATGAAGATGAAAAGGAAGACGATCTTTTTTTTTGTCTGTTCTATTATAGGTTCGAAGTAGTAACAGAGATTAACAAGTTTCCATAGGATCAATAGTAACAATAAGATCACTTTTCCAGCCTATCCTACGTTTCCATCCGTTTAAACTTATGGTCAGTTAGTGGTCACGTTAATGGTTACTTTTTGTCTATTGGTTTAGATGGACGATCAACCGATCAACCATCAAAAGCCTAGGATAAAATGGCCTCAGGCCTTAAACTACATTTGGCTTCTGTTTGTTGTTGTTGTTTTTGCTTCTTGTCCACTATCATCTTTGTCCATCACTTTCCCTCTCTTGACCATTTACCTGTTTGAAGGTCATAAAAATGTCAAACCTGTTTATCGCCTTTATTGTTGATTGTTATTGATATTTGATTTCTTTTTTTTCCTATTCATGTTTAAATTTGATTGTCACAGTTAATTGTAAACTAGTTCTAAGTGTAATTTAGTTTTGATTGATTGTCTCTCTCCATTGGGCTCATTGTTTTGTATTTTCCCGCTCTCTCTCTCTCCGCACCCATTTAAATAAAGACTTGATAACAATTAGTTAATTGTTTTTTTTCTGACAAATTTACAAACCATTCATGGTATTAATTGTCGTTATTTTGATTTGTTGGTTGATTGAGCTAAATAATTAACTGATTTCTGTTGAACAATTTTACAAGATGAAAGTTAATTTAATGCCGGTGACAAGGAAAACTTTATCAACATTAATTGTTTGTAATTAGTTGATTGTGATTAATTTTCATAATCCATTGAAAGGTTACATCCGAAATCGATGTCAACAAAACGGAAGTTGATGATGATGATGATGAAATTTATGATTTACCAATTGAAATGGTTAATCAATAAGAGTAATGATTAATTATAATTGAATGATAATTAATTTACAATTTAAAAGCTATATAATTATATGATTAAATTGGTGATGAAAGTTTTTGTTTTCGCGATTGGGTGACAATTACAATTAATTGAATCAGTGAGTTAATCAAATTTAAGATACAATTAGTAGATATTAAATTGAATTAATGATTAATCACTTACGATGATTATTACATAATTGTTTGATTGTTTATTTGTTGTAAAATGATTAAAAGAATGACCTGTTATTTATAATTGTTACAATTAACAATCTCAATTGGTTAACTACTCAAACAATCAAGTATCAAATTAACATGATTAAATTAACCATGAGAACAACGGGAATCAGAATGAAAATCAATTTAATTGTTAATTTTTTTTTCTCACCAGAAATCAATGATTTTGATGATGATGATTTAGCAAATTAAAAGGTAACAAGAGTGAGAGAGAGAGAGAAACATAAAATTGTATCAGTTAATTAATCAATCAACAATCAAGGTTACAAAGTAATTGGTTTAAATGATTTAACTGACCACAATTAGTAAATCATATTGATGATTAAAAGACTAGCCCCCTAACGGATTATATCATAAATGTAATGATGATAAAACAAAAAGGGAAACAATTTAAATGAAATTAATTTGATCATCTAGATGAATTAGTTTTGATTGTTGGCTTGAAACAAAAAAGTGGGTGAATAATTATCATCATAAATGATTGTTTATCGTGATTAACAATCAATTGTTGTAAAATCAATTAATTGTATTCAATTGAAATGATTTGGCAAAAACGGAAAGTAATTTATAAAGATCAACATCTCCAATCATCATTATCATCATGATGATAATTCAAACAATTTTTATATTTATTTTCATTTCAGAATTGAAATTGATAATATTTCATGATGATGATGATGATGATCAATTGATTGTTGATTGTTTATGTTTTTCTGATGCCAAGAAAATGTTGTTTTTGTTGTTGTTGTTTTTTTTTGGGCAAAAAAAAAGTTATTTTCATGTTGTTTTGATTTGTCTTCCTTATCATCGGGATGATAAATGTTTACCTCGTTTTCGTGGTGGGTTTTTGTCAGAGTGGTGGATTATTATGAGAGTGGGAATAGGAGGAGGAGGAAGTGGAAACAAAATCTAAAGGGAAATCATTTATTCTTAAGGGTGTCAGGTTGATTTGCTTTCAAGTTTTCTTGCCGTTGGTGGTGGTGATTGTAAATCAAGGTGATGATCTTTGATTGTTATGAGATGATGAAGTTAATTGCTGGTGAAATTAATTGTTACCATTTTGTTATTACTTTAAGAGTGATGATTAAAAATTGTTACTGTCTTATTATCATTTGAGTGGTTTGATTTTGTTATTGTTGGTCATTTCAATTTGTAATTTGATTATCATGTTGATTGTTTGTTTGTTTGTTTATTTCGTGGATTAGGATTGAAGGGGATTTGGAATAAGATTTTAATTGGGTCAATGGGATTTGGATTATTTCAGATCACATATAATATTCCGGTGAACTTGGATTACTGGCACCTACACTTGAATCACTTGATCCAGTTGATGACATTGAATCACCTACATGGTGTTGGTGTTGAGGTTGATGGTGATTATGATGATTGTGGTGATTGTGACCATTGGTTGTTGGTGTTGTTGTTAATCCATTGGCCGTGTGATTTATTAACCCGTTGTTTTGACCTAAACCTTTAACCCCGACGATGGATGAACCATTTGTTAAACAATTTGTCTCATTACCAAGTCCCATTGGGTGTTGTTGTTGTTGTTGCTGTTGCTGTTGTTGGAGTTGGTGATGGTGATGATGCTGTTGTTGTTGTTGGTGTTGAAGTTGAAGTTGTTGTTGCTCTTGATTAGATTTAGCATCTTGACTAGGATTATTATTGGCACTCGATGTTGATACAATTGAAAGTGTTGACCCTTGCTGACCAGTTGCTCGACTTATTAGTAGATATTGTTCACGAAAATAATCTCGCTCGTGACTTGCTCGAGCCAATTGACTTCGAAGATCATTAATTTCAGATTGAAATCGTTCTACTTCCGTTTCAAATCTTCGATTTCGGACTTCAAGGTCTTGCTTATGTCGAAGCCTTTTGGTTCGACAATTTTGAGCATAACCTCGATTCTTGAGGGTTCGACGTTTCTGTTTTAATCTTTGAATATCTTCACGTGAGAAACCATGAAGCCTTTTATTCAATTCACGAACCGATAAACGAATCAACTGTTCATCGTTCAAATTAAGCCCGATCTCAGGTGAACTTGAGGATCCATTGGAATGGATGTATGGATTGTTTTGTGGATGATTTTGACTACTTGAGGATGAGATTGATGGTGATCGATGAGGATGATGATGATGATGATGACTATTGTGATGATGACCACTTCCACCAGTTCGACCGGAAGTTGATCCACTTCCACTTAAAATGTTACCATTGTTATGGACACTTGATGGTGTATAAACACCACCACCACCGTTACCACCTCCTACTCCATTAATGATACCAGTGGTTGTGGTGATTGTGTTGGGATTGGTGTTCCCTTGAAGGTGACTGTGTAAAGGGAGATTAACGGTATTTAGATTATGATTATTGGCACTAGGGTTTCGCACATTGGTAAGTTGAGAAAGTTGGGAATGGTGATGACCATGGTGATGAACTTGAGGTTGACCATGAGTTGGTCCAGAGGATGTTAACTGATGAGGAAGACCAGTAGTAACCATAGCAGCGGACGGATGCATATTATTATTATTGGTGTTTTGATTGTTACCTTGTTGCTGTTGCTGTTGTTGTTGTTGTTGTTGTTGTTGTTGTTGTTGCATATTGTTAGCATTGCCGTTGGAAGTTGGTGATGAAGGTAAAAGTGATCCGTTTGAAAGTCGTGTCATAAAACCACCCGGAAGTAAACAGTGTGTTGGACTCATACCATTTGAGCCAAGATCAATAAAATCACCTCGACGACTTGTCAACCAAGGATTATCATATTCATTACCATTTTGTCCCCTCAGGTCAAGTGGACCCTCTTGATTGGTTCCATTGACCACACTTAGACCATTTAAACTTGCACCTCCTCCGATATTCATCCCACCATTGGGTATCGTCCCTTGATAACGAAGTGGACTCGGCATTGTTGGTGCCCATGAAATTGGATCATCAAGGAAAATTGTCTTATGTGATTCCAGCATATTATTATTGAGTCCACCGCCTCCACCACCGCCGATACCAATCACCACATCACTTGTTGAGATCACAGGGCAATTTGAGATGGGCAGGGTGGTAAAATTGGAGGCGATGAAAGTGAATGACTATTACCGGGAGGTGTATCAGGAGGAGTACCTGGAGTGGTCAGTTGACTTGGATGAATTAATTTTCGAGGTGTATTTAAACCAATTAATAGATTACCATGATGATGATTAGTTATTGGTAAGGATGATGATGATGATGATGAAGGTGGTGGTGGTGGTGGTGGTGGTGCTGTTGATGAAGAGGTTGATGAGGTTGAGGAGGCGGAAGGTGATGAAACAGATGAACTGGAATTCATTAAATGTGGATGATGGTGATGAATATGAGGATGAACAACATGAGCCTGAGCATGATGATGAGGATGATTGGGATGATGATGATTAGGATGATGGTGAGAATGTGAATGATGAGTAACACTATTAGCACTATTATTATTATTATTATTATTTGACCCACTTCCTATTTCACCACCACCATTAGTAGATTCTGAGTTTCTGGATGAGCTTGTTGATGATGAAGTTACCGTTGTACTTGAATCAGTTGTCACAATGTTTACACCAAGGGTACTTAAGCCACTTAATGATCCATGCTTTGATGAACCACCACCACCTCCTCCTCCACCACCACCACTGTTATTACCACCGCCACCCCCAACAGTCCCGTTACTTGCATTTGCATTTGAATTTGCATTTTCATTATTACCACTGTTATTATTTGAACTATTATCAGGATTATTATTATTATTACTATTGCTATTACCATTACCACCTCCTCCTCCTCCTCCACTGCCACTGACACTGTTACCACTTCCACCGCCTCCTCCTCCTCCTCCTGTCCCATTGGCTCGACTTCCGACAATCATTTCCTGTTTAACGAGATCGAATTGAATTTGATGATCAAACAAATCGCTAACATAATCCTCGGATGACATTGCTCCTTGATCTGAGTCCATTTCCACAATCAACAAATACAATTAACTTTTTAAATTGTCTACAATCAAACACTAATTACGTTTTTCTTGTTAAATTAAAATTTGCGAAAGCGAGAAAAAAAAATTGACAACAAAAAGTTTCGCAACTGTAAAAACTACAATAATTTTTTGACAATTAGTAAATCACTAAGATTAAGTTGATTACAATAAGACAATTAGACTTACACACACACACAATTAAATTAACTGATTAAGTTGATTAACACAAACAAACACACACACTTAATAAGATGACTAGAGATGAGAAAACTTTGTTTTTTTTTAGTTTCACTTTTTTTTTTGATTAGTTGATTAGTTGAAGAGGTTTTTTTTTTAATTGTCGTTAATTGTTGAGATAGTAAAGTAATTAATAGTTGACAAGTAATGATGATGATGATTAAACAATTAATTTCAAATGAAAGTTGAAGGTTTTTGTTTAATGTATTTAGTTTGTTTATTGCACAGCAATTGACAAGTTTGAGGTCACTTTTTGTTTTAATTGATTGGTTGTTTTAATGGTGATTATCATGGTTTTTTAATTGTTTACAATTAAAATTAATTTAGTTTTGAATTTAAGGTTAGATTATATTATAGGTTAACTTAAATACATTGCAAGAGATTTTTTTTTGGTAACAAGAGGAAAAAGTGAATGGAAACTTTTTTTTTCTAAAGCCAAAGTTGATCTGAAACGAGAAGACGATGGAATATGTTTAACCCATGGAAAGATCATAGTGAGAGTGAGAGTGAGAGAGTGGGAGAGGGTGGGAGCTGAGAGAAGGAGGAGTAGATGATGATGATGAGAAGAGAAAGAGGAAAAGAAAGATGAAAAAATTACTGCCATAGGGATGGTAGAGAAAGAGAGAAATGAGAGCGAAAAGAAAGTGGGAAGAGGAAAGAAAGAGAAACAAGAATGAGGATGGAAAGAGAAGAGAGAGAGAGAGAGAGAGAGAGAGAGAGAGAGAGAGAGAAGCAGCGGGAGAGGGAGAAGATTATGAGGGGCCATAGACATTGGGAGGGAGTGGGAAGAGAGAGAGAGAGAGGAGAGACAAAGAGGAAAGAAGATGAAGATTAGATGAGGATGAAAAGAAAAGAAAAGTTTTTGTAGACAGAGAAGAAACTGTTGAGTTCGACAGGTGAAAAGAAAGAGAGAAAGATGAATGTTTCTTTTTCTTTCTTTTCTCTCTCCTCGATTACGATCAAAGTGAAGATGATAATGATGATGATGATGATGATAAGAGGCTAGAGGGAGATGAAATTGGCAATGAGTTGTTGTGAGTGTCTAAAGGATTAACTGTAAAAGTTAATCTTCAATTTTCAATACAATTTTTTGTTTATCCTTTCGTGTCAAGATTTTGATCAGATTTTGATTGTTGTTGTTTAATTGTTACAATTTTTTTTTCTGTATCACAATTAATTAAAATACATTTCCATTCATATCAAAATGTGACTTTTTCCAGAATCAACTCATCAAAGTAAAGTGACAGAGATGAATTCAAATGAATTTGAAATGCTCATGGTAAGAGTTTCATTTCCATGAAGACGAAACTAAAACGGAATTGAACTTAAATTACATAACATTTTAATCACGTTGATTAATTACCTGATTTAATTAGTAACATGATTTTAGGCACTTTGAGTCGAAATAAACATTTCGAAAAATTTTCAAGTTCGAACTTTCCAATTTTTTATTCTCGTTTTTGAATTAAACTTTGTTTGAACTTTTTCCACCAAAATCGAATCAATTTTCATGATTCCTTTTCTCTTGAAAATCTCACTCAGCTGTTGATTGATAAATTTATCATGAATCTCAATTGGTGGAAAAGCTGAAAATTCAATTGAATAATATTACATGTACTTTAACCTTGTCAGGTCAATTCATGATTATCATGATTCATGGTGATGATTCATTGATGCTCATTTTGGATAAATTCTGAATGGTTTTCCTTCAGTTTGCATGATATTTGATCTCAAGGAGGTTTCAGACGAGGGAGAAAGAGGGGGAGATTGAGGTGAAATCTGAAAGGTGAGAGTGAGAGAGATGAAGGTGGAAGTGAAACGATTTCCTTTGGGTGGAAAAGTCGAAGAAAAATGTTCTAAATGTTCAACTTTTTTCTCTCTTTTATTTCACTTTTTCTTTTTTTTTCATTCGAGAATTGAACTTGTTCACTTTTCTATTCATTCACCACCATGGTGATATTTATTTCTCTCTCTCTCTTCATGATAATCTTTGATTTACCTTAACCACCAACACTTAAAATATTTCCTCAAGTATTAGATTAAGATTTTATTCTGAGATTTAAAAAAAAGTTCTGATGAAAAGGCAAATGATTCGTAAAGATAAATCAACATTCATTTCCTCAAATTGTGTAACATGATTAATGATCAGTTAGTTTATTTGATTAAATAAAACTGTTAACAATCAAGCAAAGGTTTGCAAATGGGTTGACCATTGGCTAATCCCTTTTCAACTTTGCTGGATTAGTTTTAATAACATTGAACCAAAGTTTAAATCAATTTTTTCATTGTCAATATTTGAATATATGAGTTTCCTTTTTTATCTCAGAATTTATCAAGAGAATAATAAAATAACATTTCCAATGGAAATATTGAATTCCAATTGAATGTTCATGTTGTTTTCTGTTGATCTATGATATTACATCAATCTTGTAGGTATTTAAAGTCAATGGTTGATATTTAACCCACCGGTGGGTTATGAGGAGGTGGATCAAGCACATATATATATGTACTAATATATATCAATAAATACAATATAATATATATCATATGCATATGATAATAATCAATTCATCGTAATGTTAAGGTCACGTTGTTGTTCATATTGTTGTAATATTAAAATGCCCTCAAGGCAATTTGATTGCCCATAGCTGAGAGAGAGAGAGGGAAACCTGTGTATTATTTTTTATCTTTATGTATTATCATTCAACCACTTTATTGGCTTGTTAGGTTTATCTCACGGATTTCATGGATAAACTGAAAAAAGCAAATTCAATGTTAACCATCATGATGATAACCTTTAGCTTCTGAACTTTTACTTTGATAGTCTTTCATCTTGAATTCAAGGTTCCAGAGTTCCAAATGAATGAGTGAGTTAACCTCAACTTTCAAATCCAAGTCAAATTTCAACGTTTCAATGAAATTATCATGAAATGATATGAATGAAAACATCGAACTGGCTAAGAATTGATTGTTTTCTCTGATATTCCTAAATTTGGATAATTAATCATTTCTATAGGTTAATTGTTATTGGAAATTGATTTGATAGATTAAACATTATTTTACTCGATGATGATGATGATAAAATAGGAGGGTATTCATGGTGAAAGACAATGAATACAATAAGCTGATAATATTTAAGGTTTCCTTTGGTAATTTTTTTTCTTGCTCAATGATCCTCATACATATCAGAGCAATCAATCAATTTCCTATGTAATACTAGTTACATATTCAAGTAATTTTCTCACTTTTTGTCTTCATCTTCATCTTTGTCATCATTATTGTCTTCATCATCAGTTTTAGCTTCTCTCTCTCTCTCTCTCTTTAATCTTAATCATATTTAGGAGCAATTAGTTTATTAGGAAGACGTTTAATTATTGTCAGTGTAACAACAATCAAAATGCTTGAAAGGATTTACAATCTAGTTGTTAGTTGATTGTTACAATTTCCTCCTCATTGGATCTTAATAACCATCAACATAGTTAACCCCTCATCAATCATCAATGCTAACGACTCTAATTGACTTGTAATTAACTGCTGATGATAAAAATATTCTCAATTTAATCATGGACAATTTAGTAATTATCATCACCATCTTATTAGATTATTGGATTGGAAACATTTTTTTTACAGTTATAATGTTGTAATGATGATAACTCATTGATTGTTTTAAATTGTACAATCGAAAAGTTGATTAAAGTTAATCTTCTTGTTAATCTGGTGGCTTAATTGTTGCTAATTTATCTGAATTATTTGTTTTTTTTTCTCTTATATTCTTGTACTCTTCAAGTACTATTAGTTTAGCATCTAAATTGTTTCAATGGATTCTTTGAATTCTTGTATTTACATGAAAGGAGAGGGAGAGAGGTGAAGATTGGGAGAAGATGATTTTTGGAAAATAAATGAAGATCAGGGGGAGATTGATTAGCTTAGAATGATGATAAAAGGATGAGGAAGATATTCTTATATTGTTACCACAAGAAAAAAAAAGAATAAGTTTCTTTAATTAGAAACATAGACAATTAGCCAAGAGACAATATAACATAACATGATCAAGATGAAGATAAGGATGAGGATAAAGATGAGGATAAAGATGAGGATAAAGATGATAATGATGACGGGGATAAGAAAGGGAGAAAGTAATCTCTGGATAGAGATTAAGATTAACTCTTTTTTTTCGTTCCAAACTCACAAGGAATAAAATAATTAACTCTTTCACTTTGATCATCAAGTTGATTACCTTTCATCAATTTGTCTTCTTCTCATCTTTTCCTTTCTTCCTCTTCTCTTAATGAATGATAATGATGAAGATAATGATGATGATTATAATGATTCTCTAGCAAATTAATTGACTTGAACCCTCAGAAAATAACAACAAATAATTAACATTCAAAGTTACAGATTAACTCGCAACTCAAACTCTTAATTAACAGTGATAATAATTAAGGTTACTGGATTTAAATTAACATCATTATCATCACCTTAATTGTTAAATCCTTTAATCACAACAAACACGTTGAGAAAACAACAGATTACAAACTAAATTATAATCACTAATTGTTATCGAGAGTGAAAATGAAATTGTAAACTGGCAAATTGATCAATGGCAAAGGTAAATTGAAACTAAATTAAATCAAATCATTTATGTATATTGATCATTATACAGGAACAATTAAAATTATTTTCTCTCAGTGAAACTTTAATCCTCAAGGATTTATATTCATATTACCATGAATTCATGACATTATATTCATGAGATATTGAAATTATAATGAAAAATTAAGTTGATTGATAAAACTTTTTTTCCTAAATGTGAAGTCAATTAACCCTGACAATCAGTTAATTTTGTACTTAGTTTATTATTATCATGATAATAATATATTTATTATCTTCCTTCCTGTTTTGTTACCGAAAACAATTTAATACCATTGAACAAGTGAATCAAGTGATTACCATTAATCTGATTGTAACCGATTTAAGAAGCAAAAAAAAATTATCTAATCAATTTAATAATAACTTTCCATTCATGTAATGTTACCTTTTCCCTTGAGGTTGACAACTTATCCATAGGTAACCCAGATTATGACATGAAGATGATGATGATGATGATTATCATGTATGGCTGCTCTGGTTAACTTATCATCATCATTATCTTCAAGATATATGATGATGATGATGATGATGATGAGGGTGGGGTAATATTGATGAAAACAATGATAAAGGTAAAAGGTAACTAAATATTGCTGAGTATTCAGATAATATCAATTGTAGACTAAGAGGTTTTTTCCCCTCGGTGGGTTTATCACTTTTATCTTATCTTTATTTTAATAGGAAACCTCATAATAGCCTCAGGTCATTTTCTGATAATGGTGATAATGGATCTTTAGATTTGGAGCATTTTTTTATCATTTTTGTATTCAAATGATTTAATTGTTGTTTCAATCATCTTGATAACTTTTCTCTCTGTGTTGTGTATGGGATTGAATTTGTGGTGATGAACAATTAACTAATTATTGTGATGAAGGTTTTTTTTTCAAATGTCTCTTAATTGTTGGTTAATTATTTTCCCATGAAGTTTCAGACAAATCGCTTAAATTAATTTTACAAGATTATATTT